AATCCTATGAGAGAGAGTTGAGTGTTGGGGAGACTATCATTTGAAGCACAAGAGCAAGGAGTTCATCATCAACACACCATTTGTTACTTCTTGGAAAGTGGTGTCTCCTAGATTGGCTAGGTGTCACTTGGGAGCCTCCGACAAGATTGTGGAGTTGAACCAAGGAGTTTGTAAGGGCAAGGAGATCGCCTACTTCGTGAAGGTCTACCCTAGTGAGGCAAGTCCTTCATGGGCGACGGCCATGGTGGGATAGACAAGGTTGCTTCTTCGTGGACCCTTCGTGGGTGGAGCCCTCCGTGGACTCGCGCAACCATTACCCTTCGTGGGTTGAAGTCTCCATCAACGTGGATGTACGATAGCACCACCTATCGGAACCACGCCAAAAATCTCCGTGTCAACATTGTGTTTGCTCCCTCAAACTAATCCCTTTACCTTCATATGCAATTGTTTTACATTCCGCTGCTATAATCTTAGAATTGCATGTGTAGATTGATTACGTGTTTGTGCTAAGTTGCTAAAATCTGCCAAGAACTAAAATTGGGAAAAGGCTAGATTTTTATTTGGTCAAATAGTCTAATCACCCCCCTCTAGACATACTTCCGATCCTACACAGCCTTCTTCTTGTAGACATTGTTGGCCTCCAAGTGCAGAGGTTTGTAGGATAGTAGCAAATTTCCCTCAAGTGGATGACCTAAGGTTTATCAATCTGTGGGAGGCGTCGGATGAAGATGGTCTCTCTCAAACAACCCTACAACCAAATAGCAAAGAGTCTCTTGTGTCCCCAACGCGCCCAATACAATGGTAAATTGTATAGGTGCACTAGTTCGACGAAGAGATGGTGATACAAGTGCAATATGGATGGTAGATATAGGTTTTTGTAATCTCAAAATATAAAAACAGCAAGGTAACTAATGATAAAAGAGAGCGAAAACGGTATTGCAATGCGTTGAAACAAGGCCTAGGGTTCATACTTTCACTAGTGCAAGTACTCTCAACAATAATAACACAATTGCATCATATAACTATCCCTCAACATGCAACAAAGAGTCACTCCAAAGTCACTAATAGCGGTGAACAAATGAAGAGATTATTGTAGGGTACGAAACCACCTCCAAGTTATCCTTTCTGATCGATCTATTCAAGAGTCCATAGTAAAATAACACGAAGCTATTCTTTCCGTTCGATCTATCCTAGAGTTCATACTAGAATAACACCTTAAGACACAAATCAACCAAAACCCTAATGTCATCTAGATACTCCAATGTCACCTCAAGTATTCGTGGGTATGGTTATATGATATGCATCACACAATCTCAGATTCATCTATTCAACCAACACAAAGAACTTCAAAGAGTGCCCCAAAGTTTCTACCGGAGAGTCAAGACGAAAACATGTGCCAACCCCTATGCATAAGTTCACAAGGTCACGGAACTCGCAAGTTGGTCACCAAAACATACATCAAGTGGATCACGTGAATATCCCATTGTCACCATAGATAAGCACATGCAAGACATACATCAAGTGTTCTCAAATCCTTAAAGACTCAATCCAAAAAGATAACTTCAAAGGGAAAACTCAATCCATTACAAGAGAGTAGAGGGGGAGAAACATCATAATATCCTACTATAATAGCAAAGCTCATGATACATCAAGATCGTGCCGAATCAAGAACACGACAGAGAGAGAGAGAGAGAGAGAGAGAGAGATCAAACACATAGCTACTGGTACATACCCTCAGCCCCGAGGGTGAACTATTCCCTCCTCGTCATGGAGAGCACCGAGATGATGAAGATGGCCACCGGTGATGGATCCCCCCTCCAGCAGGGTGCCGGAACAGGGTCCTGATTGGTTTTTGGTGGCTACGGAGGCTTGCGGCGGCGGAACTCTCGATCTAGGTTTCTTTTCGGGGGTTTCTGTATTTATAGGAATTTTTGGCGTCGGTCTCACGTCAGGGGGTCTCTGAGTCGTCCACGAGATAGGGGGCCGAGCCCAGGGGGGTAGGGCGCGCCCTCCACCCTCGTGGATGGCTCGTGACTCTTCTGGCCCAACTCTTTTACTTCGGGAGCTTCTTTTGGTCCATAAAAAATCATCAAAAATTGGCACGTCAATTGGAATCCGTTTGGTATTCCTTTTCTGTAAAAGTTAAAAACAAGGAAAAAACAGAAACTGGCACTGGGCTCTAGGTTAATAGGTTAGTCCCAAAAATCATATAAAATAGCATATAAATGCATATAAAAAATCCTAGATGGATAACATAATAGCATGGAACAATAAAAAATTATAGATACGTTGGAGACATATCAACGACCCACCATGGAGGCACACATATGATGCATTCTGTCGAGCCCAATGCCATGTTGCCGTGCCCGCCTGCACGCTTTGTCTCCCCCAATCACCCTATGCCGCTCCCACCCACGCGTGCCAACGCCTACTTCCTGGACTCTGGGAGATTTCCTTGCCGCCGCCACCAAGCAGATCGATGCCGCCCTCCCACCCCCAGGCAGACGCCCGCGACGCATACCTCCCAACTTCACCCCGCGATGTGGGCGCTTGGCTGCCTCCCCGTCTTGCAAATCTATAGCCCCGCGAATGGCTGAGCGACGCTCATAGATCCACATCTCGCGCACCCTGGGCATCATCGGGGTCGGTCAGAGGATCACATCGGCCGAGATGAAGGCGTACGAAGGCCTCTTCGCCACGCCCATCCCTCTGCCCATCCTCTCGGTCATCGTCGCGTTGGTTGATCGCGAGCTACTCGTGGATCCCACAATCACGCTAATCGCCACGGTGATCGCCGGCAGCGCGATTGAGGCATGACCACGCCCCCGCGCCCCTCTGTCGACCTCTTCTCCATGGATCACGAGCCCAAGATCCTAATCTGGAATGTGCGCGGCCTCAACGCGCGCGCCCGCCTTACCTCCATTTACTCACTTGTTGTAACCGCCAATGCATCCATCGTTTGCCTCCAAGAAACAACGATGGATTTGGTTTGCTCGTCAACTGTCCTTGAAGCACTTGGATCAGAATTCGATGACTATGTTTACCTCCCTGCGGATGGCACCCATTGTCGGTGTCAAAACCGGCGGATCTCGGGTAGGGGGTCCCAAACTGTGTGTCTAAGGCTGATGGTAACAGGAGGCGCGGGACACAATGTTTACCCAGGTTCGAGCCCTCTTGATGGAGGTAATACCCTACTTCCTGCTTGATTGATCTTGATGATATGAGTATTACAAGAGTTGATCTACCACGAGATCGTAGAGGCTAAACTCTAGAAGCTAGCCTATGATTATGATTGTCCTTCTACAGACTAAACCCTCTGGTTTATATAGACACCGGAGGGGGCTAGGGTTACACAGAGTCGGTTACAGAGAAGGAGATCTACATATCTGAATCGCCAAGCTTGCCTTCCACGCAAAGGAGAGTCCCACCCGGACACGAGACGAAGCCTTCAATCTTGTATCTTCATGGTCCAACAGTCCGGCCAAAGTATATAGTCTGGCTATCCGAGGACCCCCTAATCCAAGACTCCCTCAGTAGCCCCTGAACCAGGCTTTAATGACGGTGAGTCCGGCGCGCAGATTGTCTCCAGCATTGCAAGGTGGGTTCCATCTCTGAATACTCCATAGAAGATTTTGAACACAAGGATCGTGTCCGGCTCTGCAAAACAAATTCATAACGTGACATCCTGCCATGGTCTGGTCATTACGAACCATTTTTCCCAGCCTGCCACTGCACGTGTTGCGAGGCGGTTTTATTGGCACGTCTTGTCGAAGCAGAGATCGTGCTCCCCTTATCACGGGATTCTCATCAATACGGGTGTGGGTAACCCAATTGTGCTTGTTAGTATGACTCCTCGATTTTAGGCAAGTTCCAAACCGCCACGCGGAGGACGCTTGGTATTCACCCTTTTTATAAAGGGGCCAAGGCTTGTCCTTTTCTTCTCGCGCTCGATCCTTCCCTTCCCCCACGTCGAGTTCCAACACCCAAGGCTCAGGCTAAGCGCTTTGGACCTTCAACCATGTCTGGATCCAACCTTCAAGGTCGGTGGATGGCCTCCTCTGTCACAGAGGAGGACATCAAGAAGCTAAGGGAAGCCAGGTATTTGACCACACTACAAGAGGACAGAGCTTTTGTAACACCGTCTTGTGTTACTACAGGCCCAAAACTATGTTACTAGGCCATATAGTAACACAATTTGAAATGTGTTCCATTAGACCGTGTTACTACGTGGTGTCAACTGTCACACATAATAATTGTTACCATATATTAAAAAGTGTGTTACAATTACACTGCAGTAACATTTGTATTATGTGTTACCAAACACACTGGTAACACATTTTTGTACTTATAGTAACACTGTTAGTAACATATTTGCATAGACGCAGAACATTGGTGGTAACATGTTTCTGTAACAATAGTAACACAACTGGTAACACATTTTTCTAGCATGGGAACACAACCAGTAGCATAATATCCAAATATTGTAATACTATAATTAGTTGTCAACTACTCTAGTAACAAATTTTATAACTATAGTAACACCATCGGTAACACTACTATGTCAATATGGTAACATAATTAATGTACTTGTTTTTTATTATTACCCACAAAATTTGATACCCATTTTATGGAATATAAATTTATTTAGTAAATAGATGCAATTGCATAAATAGTTAATCATTTTATTATTATGTTGGCAGCATCAAAATGATATTGAAACTGAACCAGAACACATCTAGAAATTGATATGAAGATATTTATTACGAATACACAAGAGTGTATGATACATATGCATTACAATAAATATATCAGTCATATCATTTTGAGCAGAGAAAACACAACTATCGAGAATATCACACCATAGCATTTGCATCAATTCGACGAAAGAAAAAAATCTTGTGGATGATATTACATTTTTCAATCTATCAATGTAAACTACGACTATTGGTAGCTAAAATCTTCAATTTTTTTTCTTCTTGATCCAAGAATTCAGCTTCAACTCAATTATCCTTCTCTTGAATCTGTAAAAGAAAATTGCACCTTAGATATATGTGATTAAATGTACACAAATATGATTTCAGAATGTGGAAGAGAAGATTTTAACTTACAAAAGCTGAAGGCCATGCAATTAAGTATCCTAAAGTGAAAGCCTCACCAATTGTCTTGCAACCCAATCCCTTACCAACTCCTCATTATCAAGAATAGGTTGATATATGCGCACAATGGCAAATTCAACACCTAATTCAATGCCACCAGCCTTATTTCTTTGATCAGTGCTCCGAATAGTACCATACACAACATTTCGCTTGTTGGGATATGTTGAAGTCTTTAAAACTACTTTAGAAGCAGCCTATATTACAATCAATATTAGCATTCAACGACAATGATAATATAACTTGTAATTTGCATGAACAATATGAGATCTTTAGAATGTCAGCCCAGTAAGGTGCCCCCAAAAAACTAAATAAACTGGACCCGACATCAATGTCTAATAATACCCAAGGTCACCTCGCTTACTCATGCTTGGTTAAATATATCCTTTACTTGCATACAACAGATTGAGCAAAATTTGTAACAAAATCCATTTTTCAAGCAGGCATGATAATGTGGTCTGGGTTGGGAATTTAGGTGCAGTAAGCCATGCCCCTTGGTGAATCTTTACCTTGATGGAAGAAGTACGCCTTCTTTTTGAGCTAGCTGGGTGTGGGTGTTCAGTTCTATTCCCCTGCTGGTTCTGTGATGAAACAGATTCACCTGTAAGATCCCTCATTTCCCTCACCTACCAAGAGACAATAATATTAGATGGAATGATATTCATATCTTGAAGCTACAGAAAGCTACAACTTCAAAACCCAAAAGCACACAAAATTTACCTCTGGCACAGAATCAATAACAAGGTCTTCATAGTGCAGGTATATGGTCAGCATGTCCATCACCTACATATATATATGGCAATTGAACCATTACAAATAAAGACAAATTAACTAATGACATAACAGGGATAATTTTATTTGCCAATAGACATGAATTCGTAGCAGATAAATGAGGGAAGGAGAAAGGAGAATCCACCTAGGACAAGATTGTAGTGTCGGACAGGGAAATCAAGCAATACAAGTTGTAGAAGTCCCCTCGGCAATTTGGGTCCCAAAACCGATGAAACCTACCAAAAGAAACATGTGAATGTAGAGGGCAGAGAAGTACACAGTAGCATGTCAATGCACTATCAGCTTATCATAACTCAAAATAGTGAGAGGAGGTACAAGAACATGGATCCAGCCACACCCACACTCAGATATAACACTGTCGACATATGGATTCAGGACAGGTTTAAGTTGAAAACTGTATAGATTATGTAAACTGAGCAGTATTCAAGCGACGGATAAGATTCTGTTAAGAACTATGTGATAGTACAGCAGCAACATGTTGCCTCATGTGCCATCCCAATAAGTCAAGAAGCAGCAGCCAAGGTTTATTCTAAGTCAAACTTCTTCACGTTTGAGTTTGTCAAAAATATATCACTATTTGGAACACTAGATTAGTTTTATACTTTTATTAGAATCTTTAGAAAATATTCACAATATGTATAGTTTATTTTGCAGATCTTGCCATATTTTCTCTATAAATTTGATCAAATTTAAACACGTTTCACCTAGAACGCCCTAGCAGAAGTGTAGAACATGCACCTACATATCAATGGATTGATCTGATTGATGGATTAAACACAGGCCCAACACAAAATTATAGCCAGCCACAACCGTACATGGTTTATGGGATTTTCTACATCAGTGATGGTTTAATTACTTATCTACGTATGGGCTAATTATGCAATTAGCTGCGGCCATTAGCATGTACAGTACACACTGTCTGCTACGAATTGTTAGGGGGGCTAGCGAGTGGCAGGGGTCTGACCCCTGATCGCCCCTTCGTCTCCGCCCCTGCATCTGTATAGTGGCGTTCATAGCAGTTAGATCAGGGAAGGGGTGGGCATTCAGATCCATACCAACCAAGAGATCGTACTCCTTGAGGATGTAGGTGCCGGAGCTGGAGACCGACGAAGCCGTCGCCGCAACGATCCAAACGGCAGCGAGGCAGATCAAGGAAGCGGCGGCGTGGCAGATCGATACGGGATTGGG